CCACCCCTGGTCAACACAGGAGGAGTGATTTCGCCCACCTCAATGTGGATGTGTGGGAGTTACTGCTTTCTGTGGCTCACGATTGGAAACAAATTTTCTAAAAACTGCAGGACACCTTGACTCTCTACTGAAAAAGGAGGGACTGTAATATGCTTCAGTTTGGCTTTTGTGCATGAATGAGACAGAAACTACTGAAAGCAGACTTTCTTCTAAACGTTTGCCCTTCAAACAATTACACACCTCTTTCTTCAGGTGTCAAGTTCCTAGTTCTATAGTTCTCTCTTTAGCAAATGGTGTTTGGAGACAGGAGAAGGATCAGACAGGAATGGGAAAGGCTCCAGCTTAGAAATGCAGAGAAGCTTAGCCTTTCCTTTTATGGCATCCTTCATTAGGCCTGGAGCAGAACAATCACCAAGGCTTTCAGTGAGAACAGCTCCCATTCATTCATAGATTATTCTTTAAAAACACAATACATTAAATGGACTCATAATGTGGCCAAGTTCGACTTTTCAGTCGAGTCTTGTGTCCTCGTATTTTGCAATCTGTCTGAAGTGTGTGCCTTAGGGAAGTTTGTTTTTTAACACTAGAGTACCGAACTTTAGGATTTTATAAGAAAACCTATCAGTTCTTTCTTAACAGTAATAAAACTTTCTTTTCTGAAGAAGGAATGAAATGTAATAAAAGAAGGAAGGGAATAAGATGCCATCGACCTGCTAAGAGTGAAAGTTTTGACTCCTGTTATCAAAGACAATGGCATTTTATCTACTTGCTCCCATTCTCAGGGACTACTTCATCAGCCAAAGTATTTACCAACCAAAAACCTAAGCAGACAGTGAAAGCAAACTGTCCCAATGTTGGTCAGTTCTAGCTTCTCTGAGAATGTATTACAGACTGTGTAGCATAAGTGACAAGCTTTTGTTCCTCATCATCCTACCGGGGCTGTGAAGTCCAAGGTCAAGTTCCTAGCAGACCCAATTTCTGAGGAGGGCCTGCCTTCTGATTGACAGGTGTCTCCACCAATGGCAGCAGGGAGAAAAGCAAATTCTTGAGTATCTTTCAGAATCATCAATTCCATTTATTAGGGTTCTTGTCCAGGATATAATTACCGCCCAAAGGTCTCATTTCCAAATATCACTTTTCAGGTTATTAGTGTGTAGATTTGGATTCGTCTGTAAAAATGTATTGTCTGGGGGGCAGAAATTGCATCAGCAACATCAATCGCTATGATTTCAGACAAGACCGCTGAGTCTCAGTCACTAACATTTTCATGAAAAGCTTAAGGAGTGCAGAATATCTCGAGTACACATACATATCTGTGTGTTCTATACAGATGCAGACATATGCAACCAAGTCATGCGTAATTCAGATGGGGTTACACAGGTAATAATATATGAAACCCTAAAGTTTTACAACTCAGCCCTTACATTTCCCCTGTTTGTTTCATCTCTAGGGTCCTCAGTAGAATGGGAATAAGGAGCTGAGCTCACTTGAAAGGTTCTGTGATGTATGTTTGTAATGAACGGGAGAAGAGTGAGCTAAGATGTGGTCACAGTACTCTACACGGCAGTGAGGAGTGAGACAGCCCTCCACTAAAATGTAGTCATTATGTATGCAGTTCTGTACATTCATGTGCTCTGCTTTAATGAACAATCATATTTATTGCTGGAGGTATGGACCCTCCCGTATAAACACACACACACACACACACACACACACACACACACACACACACACACACACAGAGTTTTATTCAGGCTTTGATGTCTGCTCACATCCTTTCCCTGCCTGGGCCAGATCATCCAAATCATTTGTTCTAATGAATAGTTCAATAATATTGAACAGCTATTTATGCTGGGCCTGACTCTATATGCAGAAATGGGATATTTAACAAAGGAGGGAGAGGGAGAGGGAGAGGGAGTATGGGTAGGGTGAGAGATTGGAGGGGGAATAAGAGTCAATATAAGCAATAAGGAAGAACAATATGTTTCAGATGAGGTATAGTGAAGAAGTTAAAACACCCGTGTTTCCCATCTGTACTTTCTCCCTATCTCCAGCTTATCACATCTTAGAGACCTAATGACTTCCTCCACCCAGTGATTGTTCGGAACCCTTGATCCAGCCCCTGCTTCCACCAAGCCGCTCTTTTCCATCCGTTTGCTTACCTGTCTTATCTTTCCCAAGCAGGCTACAAGGCTTTGTGGAAATGTGTGGGGTTTTTTTTGTTTTGTTTTGTTTTGTTTATGACATTATCCTTGTGATTTGGCTCAACACTGACTAAGACAAGACCTGACATATAACATATACAACCAATACCAATTCACTGAATATTCTGCTGCAGGAGTCAAAAAACCCAGCGCTGGGTGGCATCCAGCTCTCCCGGCACAGTGGAGAGTGTATCAGGAGTAACGGCTGGCAAGACAGCCTTCTGTGCGTCCATTAGAATATCCTCTTTAGAGATGCTTTCTGCTGCACTGATCCAGTAGCTCTGATGCAGAGCAACATTTTTTAAAAAAATTATTATTGCAACTTAAAATTCAGTCTGCTAAAAGGCTATAAAATATTTTTAAAATAAAAAACAACAACAGGAAGACTGTCTAGTGTTCATTAAAAGATGAACTCACAGACACCAAAGAAAGATCTGTTTTTCAGAACCAATGAGCTGGCTTCTGGAGAGAACTAGAACAGGGAATTACTCAAATAACAACGCGGCACTAAAAACAACTGGCTGAATGAAATGAGAGCTGTAGAAGTACTGGAAATTCCAGTCTTCGAAAGCATTCTGACCTCAAAATGGTGTCGGACCATCTTTCTAGGGCTCTATTTAGTGCAAGTCCTCTTTTTTTAATGCCTCCTGGGGGCTATCGGTTCCAACAAAGATGGAGGCAAAACCTTTGCCATTTCAATAAGGAAGAGATGTAGGAGTCACATGACCACAGTCCATTGTGGGCATTGAACAAACCAGACCGAAAACCCACAGAGCTACCTGCCTTGAACATAGTAGAGGAGATGCCTCCCATTGCTGCTGAAGCATCTGCTGTAAATGACTCCTGAAAGTCCCCTTTGGCATTAGAATTCAGGTTTTGCTGTATTACAGCTAAACATGTTTCTTCTCAGGAGTCCAGCTAAGTTACAGCTCTGATGTGACCTTCTACACTCCCTGGTGATCCCCCCTCCACCCCCTGAGTATTTCTAGGAACAAGGGTGAACTTCGAATTTTCTTTCCACTTTCAAAGACAAAACCCAGCAGAACATAGAAAACTCACAAACCAAGCAAGGTGGGCAATCAGTCTGCGGACTTTTACAAGGCAACTAACAAACACCCACTGTGTTTTGTGGCTGCTGGCCTATTTTGTAGACTATAGATAGGAAGAAAAGAGAAAAACTTAGTAAGTTCCAAAATTATTTCTAATTTATTTTGCTGATGAAAAGTCTGAAGAAGAAAGATGATGAATTAGTGAAACTTATGGAAGAAACATTGTTGGGAATAATGTGGTGGACTTCTGAATTCCTGTATGTTGTGTCTTTATCAAGGAAGAAAAAGAAGTTGAAAACGTGAGGCATATAAGTTTGGATGGACATCCATCTTGGCCTGTTAGTATGGTACCCATTATTCCTACAATTGAAAATAACTGCTATTATTATTTATAGAGCATACAGTATCTGTCAACCAAGGTATTAGAGGTTTGTGTCATTGTTTAATTTAATCTTCAACACTATACGGTAGCTATCACTAACCTCACATTCAAAAGTAGTAAAATTGGAGCTCAGAAATTTTAAGACATTTTCTTCAAAATCTTGTATGTAGTAAATTGAAAAGTCCTAACTGGAAACCAAGTGTGCATGACTAAAATTTGTATTCTTTCCAACATTGCCTTGAAGGATCAAATACTATTCCTCCCTCATTAAAAATAACTTCTTTAAGGATAACGACTGACGCTGCAATTTAGTGTTGAGCCATACAGAATTTTTAAAGAGGATTACGCCCTAGTTAGAGTTTTTAAACATTTCATTTAAATGCATTTGAGTTGATTAATTTGCATAACCGAGTCTAAGCTTGTTTCTGAGGAAAGCATTCTGCTAACAAGTGTGTCCCATTGGTCTTTTAACGCCGCTGCAGTTTTAAAGTCTAAAATGACAGGTCACAGTGGGATGAGGGGAGGTCATGCCCGCATTGTGCGCAAAACAGGAGAGACAGGATCTGGAGGCTCACGTGACAGGTGCAGCTGCGGACATAACACTCTGCCTGCTTTCACACCGAACCAAGTCTCACCCGAGCAAGTGGGCTTTAGGAGGAAGGGTAGTCGGAAGGAGATAGAAATCCAGGGCCAGAGATGGAAGATGTGTTGTAATAACTGTGCCAAATTATCTTACCACGGTCACAAAATAAAATGCTTATTTCCTCAGTGGTCACTCGGCATAGTGTGCAGAACAGCTCTGCCCTGTCTGGATGCTATTCAGTCTTCTCCAAGGGCATGCTCACTGCAGTGATTTTCAGGAATTCTTTCAGAGCATCCCACTGACTAGAACATTGCTTATTTCTCACAGACATGATTATAGCTTCACATCCCTGTTTAAGGTAACTCCAATCATGGTTTAGCACAGTTTCCTAGTTAGAGCTCATAGTGTGACATCTCCGAGCCACCTACTGGGATAAACTGCCTTTTGGAGGTTTTAAATCACATGTGTACCAGTCCCTCCCCCTTTTTAAGATGGATGAGGGAAGGAAGAGGAACAAGGAAGGTAGAGGGGAAAAAAATAATACCCTCACCGGAGAAAATTGAACGGCATTAAGAAAAATTCAGAGGCGACTCTAACCATTGATTCATATCATAAAAATTTTCTCTATATCTCACGAGTCCCTTTCAATTGCGTTTTCTTGTTTTGTAAGAAGGGAAAGTTGGATTTTATTTCCTCCTCTGCCTCAAGTGTTCTACAAATGGGAGCCAGCCAAACAGAACTGGAGGGGAGGCACCTGCGGCAGCCGCTTTTTCTTTGGTTACCTTGGAGTTTCTGGTTGTATTCGGTCCTGTCAGACTGGCTCCTCCTCAAGGTGCCAGAGTGGTCCCCAGAAACACTGCTGTCCACCACAGTGTCTGTCTTCCTCCTCTCCAGCATATACAGCCTGGGTCTCAAGAAGGTCAGATTCTTTCTCTTGCCTCCCAGGTTCCCCTTCCCAGTGGCTTCTCTGGGCTCCATCTGAGGCAATAAGACAAACTTCTGAGGTTTGCAGGCAATGGCTGGTTGCTTAAGGGCCTCCGGGCGAATCTTGGCATTTAACTGCCCCTCTTCTAACTATAAGGCTTCGCTGCAGGGTTACCTGTCTGTGACTGCTACCTGGAGTCCCCGAGCTCCACCCCTATGAGGTCATTCTTTTTTATACCTATCATCCAACAGGGGAAGTTGCCACCTGTTACCCGAGAGACCTGCTGCACTGAGTTAGGCAAAGCAGGGACTCCACTGTCACATGCTGCCCAAGCAAACAAAAATCGCATTGTGTGGGGCAAGGGCTGGGGGTGGGGAAAGGGAAAGGGAGCAAGGTGAGGCAGGGAGGAGGGAAGGGAAGGACATGTTAGCAGAACCCGCAGCCTGTGGCTTGAATGTGTGCCCATGGGTGTGTGCAGGTGCACTCAGAGAACCGTGTTGTGACCGGCCACTGGGAGCCCTGCGCCGCTTTCCTCTGGTCTTCCACCTGTGGCTCTGAAGTCAGTGTGCTGCTATGACAATTTGCATTTGCACAACAAAGGAGACAGGGTTATTTTTATTTGGAGTATGTGCCCTCGAGTGTTGGCACTCGGCAATTATCTGCTACAATCTGACTGGCTAAACCCTGATCAGATCTCCTAAAAAGTAAAGATTGACATTTGAGAGTGATTTCCCCCAGGAGAGTCAAGAAATGGAGAAGAATGAATTTCCTCAGAGCCCAGAAAGTTCTCTGTCGCTTTTTCTCCACACGCTGCTTTTGCCTGGGATCCAGCCTTGTCCTCCTGTGCCTTGGTCCTTAGGAAAACAATAGATGATTCAAGGTTAATTTCTTTAGGATCTTTCTCTTGTGGCTTCACCTATGAAGGGCGAGGAAAGAACAGTTTACTTTGGGAATGAGAGGAAAAGACGGGTTTGAAAATGAGGAAGCATGAAGAAACAGCAAAGCAGGATGGGCCTTTCATTGTTTGAAGTTGTTTTTCCTCGTGTTTGTTGAGCTCTCCCGAGGGAGAGATCGCAGAAGCTTGGGGAATGTGCTGAGTGTTTTGTGCACAGCCTTGTTAAGGAAAAGAGACCCTAAGGAGAAAACTAGATTCTCTTCTGCGAAGGGACCACCAGCTTCCACCTGCCCATTGTGAATCTTGCTCAACTCCATCTAGACAAGATTATAAATGAGAAGAAAAACAAAACCCATCTTCCCAACTCAGGATACATAGGTTGAATGTTATTTGCATAATTACCTTAAGAGATAAATGATAAATCCTCACTATAGTGACATCTATATTTAGACTGGCATACTGAATGGCTTTTATTTGAGATAATTGAGAGTTTATTTTTTAACAAGCTCTCCCAAGTATATTGAATAAATAAATACCTTTACAGCAACTTTTAAAGCTGTAAAATGCAGTTTCTTACTTATTAAAATATCCCACTTATTCACCTGGAGACTATCAGAGCTATACTCTTCAGTATAATGATATAACTGAAAAACTGTGCCATTAAATCTGTAAATATTTTGGGGAATAGGAGGTTTAAAGATCAAACACTCAGAAATCCTGTCAGCAGCCCATAAAAGACAAAAACAGAAAACCAATAAAAACAGATAAAATGTTTTATATGTTTTTACACAATAGATTTTTTTATTTGCTTGCTTGTTTTTTATTTTTATGTGTGTGCAACGTGCATATGTGTGTGCACGCATGTTTTCACTTGTGTGTGTGTGCACATGCACTTGTGTACGTGTGTGTGGAGAACAGGGTTGTTTGTTGTTGGAAATCACTCTGAATCATTCCACCCCATTGACTGAGGCAAGCCTCGTAGGCAAACTCAGAGCCAGCCTATATGGCTAGTTTTCCTAGCCAGCCATGTTTTGCTGACATTTGCATGAGTCCTGGGGACCAGAGCTCTGCTCCTTCTGCTTGGGCAGCAAGGGCTGGACCATTGAGACACTCCTGACTCCATATTGCTTTGGGGTTGGTTGGTTTGTTCGCTTGCTTGTTTAGATAGTCTCACTATGTAGTCTTGCCAGGCCTGGCACTTACTATGTAGAGGACACTGGCCTTAAACCCACAGAGATCTGCCTGTCTCTCCCTCTTGAGTGCTGGCATCAAAGGCATATGCCATCACAGCTGGCATTGCTTTGGTTTTTGAGATAAGGTCTTTGCTTTTTTATATAGGCTGACCTGGAACTCACTATGTAGCCTAAGCTGGCATGGCATTTGTTCTCTTCCTGACTCATCTTCCTGAATCCTGGGAGTCAGGGTGGGCCACTGTGCCACCCACTTTAAATGTCTAAGGAATGTGCAATTGCTGCAGTAAATGTACCCTCTATGTTGGAAAAGTTCTGGTCTTTGCTTGTGGCTGTGCACTTCAGAAAGGCTGCAGTACGTGAATTTGAAAATGGCAGAAGCATTTGCAATCACAAAGAAATATAACAATAAGTGATAGTGAGATGTGGCCCGTGACACAGACAGGGAATGAGGTTACTGGTAATGTTTAAAGGATATACAGCTGACTTTTGTGCTTTCCTAAGTCACTGTTTTATCTAGATATGATTCTTTTTGCATTAACCTAAATATTTCAAGTGGGCACATCCACACACACAAGCAAATGTGAAATTGTGATATGTTCAAATATCTCCTTAATCTGTCAATCTTTCTGAAACAAAATTCTATTTCTAAACATATTAGCATTGATATTCTGGTAGGTTTATTGTTTTTACTTTTAATGATAGATAATCACATACATATCATAGCTACTATAGATTCCATGGCAAATGTGTGTTTCATTTATTTATGATGTCTTATTTTAAATTTTAAAAATTATATTTCATATATAATTTTGTTGGCTCCCAAGTAGAGGTCAGAAGACAATTTTCATGATTCAGTTCTGTCCTTCCTCCGTATGGGACCAGGGGAAGATCAGGCCATAGGACTTGGTGGCAGGCACATTTACCTACTGAGCCATCTCGCTGGCCCTTTAAATAGTTTCTATGTAAACTTAAAAGTAGTCAAAACTACTGTTGTGGTTTAAATCTGAGATGGTCTCCAGATCACATATTCAGCTTGGGGGGATATTAGCTACCGAGGGATGAAATTTGGATTCTAAGAGCTCTGACCTAAGCCATGCATTACTCCTTGATGGATAGATACATAACACGATGGCATTACTAGGGGGTGGTGGGAAGTGTAGTGATATTTTCTTGTACTCAAATAACCTTTGCCTGAAGATCAGAGGACAGAGCCAGCCACTAGATTAAACACAGAGGCCAGGCAGTGGTGGCACACACCTTTAATCCTAGCACTTGGGAGGCAGAGATACATCTGGATCTCTGATCCAGATGGATCACTGGGCTACATGAGATTGATCCAATCTAGGAGAGAAACAGAACCAGGCAGTGGTGGCACACACCCTTAACCCCAGTACTTGGGAAGCACACACCTTAGGAAGACAGGAAGTGAAATGGCTGGGCAGAGAAAGGCGTATAGGGCCTGAGGAAGCAGGAACTAGAGCCTTTTCAGCCGAGGACTCAGGAGCATTCAGTCTGAGGATTTCTTGGAGACAGGATCGGCTGAGGAGTTGGTGAGGCGAGAAGTGGCTGTGGTTTGTTTCCTCTGATTTTTCAGCACTTACCCCAATATCTGGCTTTGAGTTTTTGTTATAAGACCATTTAGGATTCATGCAACAGGGAAGTAGGACCGGGAAGAATCGGGCCTGGTGGGAAGAAGCAGCCACTGAGGCAAGCTCTGATAGGATCACCTTTTCTCCCTGACTCTTCACTTTCTCTCTGATTGCTGACTTCCTCTCCGTCACCTCCTTTTCCCAAGATTCTCTGCCCTGCACAGGCCCAGAAGTATTACAGGCAGCCAGGATGGACTGAAACTTCTGCGAAGCAAGACAAAAATCAATATTCTGGCCAGTAAGTCACCCTTTCTAAGGATTGTGTCACAATGGCAAAAACTGATGAACCATAGCTTATTCCATTGATGACGGGGCAGACATTACCAGTACTTTACTGTTTTTATTCTCACACTCACTCCCAGTTGTCATTCTTAAAATGACCAGAACCATCATTTAATTCAAGGCAGCACCAGGCTCAACCAATCAATGGTAACTTTTTCCTTTTTTTTAAATAAAAAGTGGCCATGTTGTTCTGGGTCTCAGAGACTGCCATCCCAGGGTTAATCCAGAATAAAGCGCAAGGTATTGATTCTGGGGAAGCTTTTCAGTCACCCAACTAAAGGAGCATGCGCAGCTGGCTCCAGCCTTCTTCCTCTGGACTCAATGGTATATGTGGAGCAGTCACAACCACCCTGTGTCTGAGAGCCAAAGACTGATGGATTCTTACACTGTTGTACTATTGAACCAGGACTAGCAGTCACTCGCCTTAGACTTTTGCTATTTGGGCAAAATAAAGATGTATTTCCTCCAAGCCATTTTTGGGGTGCTTGTGAGCATATTTGAAGTGTTTTTAGCAGATAGTACATAAACAAATTGCATTTCTCCTGCTTATCTTCTGGACTAAGCCAGAGTATTTATTTAGAATCTCCAGCCTAAAACATGTTTTAGTTCTTTCAGAAATGAAAATGGCCAGGTCAGAGAAACTTTGAGTGAGCTCTTTATTAGATCATCAACCAGACGAGAGCAAGGCCTCTAATCTATCTACACACAAAGGTATTTCAATACAAGGAGTTTATATTACTTGGATAAAATGATAATATTAAGATGTCTAATTGTAGTTTCATTTAATATAGGATGGATCCTGGTTCACTATTAGAAGCAGCATTGGGCAGTAGATCCAAGACTCTGTCTCCATCAATGGCTTCAGAATTCATTGTCCTCATGGATGCTCTGGGTCCCAGATCCTACCTTTGAAAAACAGAAGAATGACTTAGTCATTAGTGCTGTTTACCAAAGCAACTTTGGTTCTTCACTGAGGCACATGGGAGTATTGCCCTACCCTTTCTGCTTTGAATTTATTCTTGCCCAAGTAACTC